AGATTCCAGAGAGCTGTTCTAGCAGCAAATCAGTGCAAACACTTGTTTTCCAGAGTACCAGCCCTCCTGTTACTACATACCATTTGCAAAGAGCTCTGCCTGGGGGCATCGTGCTAATGGAATTGGCTTTTCAGGTGAGTGGAAATCAATCCCATACTAGTAGTATATTTAAGTGGCAAAAGGAAGTGTAAGTGCTCACAGGCCCCAGGAGTGAGCTCAGGTACAGTGGAGCAGGATGTGATCAACCATGCATAAGTTAGTAGACCTGAGTCTGATGGGGAAAAACACAGGTTGAGCTAGCCCAACCCTGATGGAAGGTAGCAGTGGCAGTGTTGAGCTAATCATTCCAAGAAGCAGTTAATGTTGTACGTGACAAGCGCGGCTACTTGGGTCTGATGCAGGCCAATATTTCATCTATTTCTGCTCTCCGTAGGGCTGTTATTTCTGTGTGAAGCAGTATGCACTGGAGTGCTCACGGATCCCCATGGGTCAGACTGTCAATTCACAGGTAACATTGCTAGATTATGGCCTGCCACAGGGGCCAGAATTTAGTTTAGAAGAAGTTGTCCCAATACATATGAAGGACTGGTTTGAGGAAGGTATGAATCTGAAGTCTCAAAGAGATCGTATATTTTCCCAGCTGTGGCTTAAGAGAGAGAGCCGGTGTCCTGCCCAGTGTGTTTTGCTCTCTTGTGCTGCCTTGGCAGGGAGACAGCGCTCGTCTCCCTCCCTTACAACAGGAGGTTCTCCCAGGGAGAGTTTGCCCAACTCAGGATGAACTATCCACTTAGTTGCTTTCCTTCTTGCCAATAATTGGTCTTGTCTTTATTCTAGAGAAAACCCCTTGAAGACTTCCTGACACTCTGAATCCCATGACATTGCAAGTTTTCTGGAGACAGCAGTGGACGTAGCCTGAGCACTATGATGATATATGAACTCCTTCTTCAGTGCCAGTAGCTGCTGTGTTCCAGAATATTTGAAGGGATCTTTGTATGTGCAGCATCTGTATGTCAATTCAGCCAGTGTCTAAACCATAGAGGATTGGCTTGCAGGTGTTATGCAGAGGCCAGTACATAGGATGAGCCCTTTAAATGTTAAGTTTACTACATAAGAAAGTGCTTTATGGTGGCCTCCACAATGGGGGCTGTCATGTTCAGATCAGCTCTTTTTGTCAGCTGCAACTCAAAAGGCTGAATGCTGCAACTACAAGAGAGACTAAATCAATTATGTAAATGTTAGATTATTTAATTAAACCAATCAGTTTTCATTCATGAGACACTCCATGGAACATCATCAAAAGTAACCACAAGAGACCTATGCCAAGTTTCTGCACTCTAACTTAATTGCAAAGTATAGCAATACCAGAGAAGAAGGAAGAATTGGGCTCACGGGATACTGGATTCTCTGGGATAATTGTAAAGATAGCTAAATAGATGAGGGCTATGCAAGTTATTCCTTGGTGCTTCCAAGACAGAAAAAGGGAAGTCCTTTAACATGGGGGAGCTGTGCCCAGTGATTCTGGTCAAGGCTTCTGTTGTAGATACTTTCCGTAGAAATTAAACTGTTGCCCAGATTGGAGAGTATCAGTACTGAGAAAAGTATCCAACCCAGCTGCTTCTGCCACCCCCCTTTTCTCTGAAACCTCTGATCGATTCACTACATTCCATCCTTAGACTGCACAATAATATTGCAGCCATTCTAGGCTGTCAATTCCAGGATGGCATTATCTTGATTCTTCCTAGCTCTCTATGCTCTTCACGGAGGAGTGTGACAAAGTGCGTGATCTCATGCATGTGCACTCATTCAGCTACGATTTCCACCTGCGCATTGTGCACCAGTACCTGCTTGGCTCCCACATGGCACTGCGACAAGGCTATCACCTCACTGGATTCCTGGAAGACTTCATTGCCCAGCATCCTGACATCCCCAAGTTTGGACGCAACCACATCTTCCAGGGTAAGTGCTCTTGAGGTTTGGGAGGCCCGTAGAAACTATAGCTCTTGTGAAACCCATCCAAGGCTGTATAGTCCTGTTAGGTAGCTGTAGTATATGGGAGTCATGAAGATCCTGATAGTAATTGTGTTGATTTATACAGCACCATCAATGTAATGAGACTGTGGCTCGGGGGGAGAGCATCTGTGTTGCATGCAGAAGGTCCCAGGTTCAATTTCTGGCATCCTCACTTAAAATAGATCAGGTAGTGATGGTGAAAGACCTCCACTGAAAACCCTGGAGTGATGCTTTTAGCCAGAATGTACAGTACTGAACTTGATAGAACAATGGTCTGACTTAGTATGGCAGTTTCATGTGTACATGTACAAAAAAGACAGGTCCCTATGTCCAAGATGCTAAAATTAATACTGAGGGATCAGATTTCATTCTGGTTCCAAATTTCCCAGTATCTGTCTCCATTTCACCACATATTTAATTCCAGATAGATAGAGATACATAGTTGTACATACACAAGAGTGAGCAGAAAGCCTGTACAGTCTTCATGTCAGATTTATGGAGTGAACTAGGAATAAGGTCAGTTGTGGAAATAAATACAACGAGCTCTAGAAAGAGGTTCTGAGAGAGTGCCAAGGCCTTGTACACTCAACATCAATTTGCTGTGGCGACCTCAGCAGGGTATAATGACACAGAGTCCACCATTTTCTCCAGAAAAACTGATCGCTGCTACCTTAAGAGCAGTTGTAATTTTGAGTGATCTCCAGCCCTCACCTGGAGATTGGCAACAATTGTTACCCATGAGGAAATAGCTGGTTTGGAGGGTGGAGTCTATGGCATTGTACCTGTCTGAGGTCCAACCCCCCCTCAAACCTCACCCTCTCCAGGCTCCACTCCTCAAATCCCCAGGAATTTCCCAACCTGGAGTTGGCAACCCCATCTCCTTCACAGCTAACCATCAACCTACCGTTATCTGCCCCTCTGACTGCAGCTGATTTCTGCCCTCCCGCCTGGAGATCAGTTGTAATTCTGAGTGATCTCCACCCCTCACCTGGAGACTGGCAGCAATGGTTCCCCAGGAGGAAATGGCTGGTTGGGAAGGTGGAGTCTATGACACTGTACCTGTCTAAGGTCCTACCCCTCCTCAAACCTCACCCTCTCCAGGCTCCACCTCAAATCTCCAGGAATTTCCCACTTGCAGTTGGCAACCTTATCTCCTTTCCAGCCACGCATCAACCTTTCCAGCCATCCACACAACAGATCATGCATATTATCTTGTTTCGTGTATAACTTATTATTATTTATTTATTTATTGGATTTATATCCCATTCTCCCCAAATGGTTTCCTCACTATGAGATACTACTAGAGAGTTTGTCAAATGGATTAATATTGTATTTCAATGCTACTCACCTTGAAAAAGATACACGAAACGAGATAATATGCATGATCCGTTGTGTTGATGGCGTTTGAATTTCTTCCTGTAAACTGAAATATTGGAAACAGAAATTTCTGGTCTTTGGAGACTTTTTTGGCATAATACATCACGGTTGTTTACTTCTTTCCAAACTCACCTGGAGATTGGCAACAATGGTTTCCCAGGACGAAAAGTAGTCTTTCTCTGCAATGGGGACGGGACCAAAGCAGCTTACATCATTCTCCTCTCCCCCTTTTGACTTGCACAACAACCCTGTGAGGTAGGTTAGGCTGAAAGTCTGTGACTGGTCCAAAATCACCCCAAATCTACAGCAAGAACCTAGATCTAGCAGACCCTGCTCTGAAACACTGACTGCTATGCCTAGGGTAGCCAACCTCCAGGTGGAGCCTGAAAATCACCAGGTGTCACAACTGAACTGGACAACAGATCCCCCCCCCGGAGAAAATAACTGCTTTGGAAGGTGGGCTTTATGGCATTCTGTTCAGCTGAGGCCTCTCCCCTCCCCAAACCCTGGCTTTCATAGACTCTACCAGAAAATCTCCAGGCATCTCCCTACCTGGAAATGGCAACCCTAGTCAGGCCTGGCCCCAATGAGTTCCTCACAAAGGGCTACAAAGGGTTTCCTTCCTTTGTCTGAACCAAGCTTGGTTGCCTACTGTGGCGAAACGGGCTCCAGTTTACAACTCGGCTGTTTGCCTCCCACCTTCGTCCTGTGGGCGTATCTCACTCCTTAAGTTCACTGCCACCACTCACTGAATTGTCACTGCCTTTTTAGAGGGACAGTGAGACCCCTCTGGCCAAATCTCCCTATTTGGAGATTGAATCCCCAATCTCTGGAAAGTTGGCAACCCAAGTGTCAGGCCTTTCCTTGCTTCCCTGGGCTACCCTCTCCCTTTGATATTGTGCAGAGCGGAGGAGACTATGTGGTCAGAGCACAACACAGATTATTAGCTCAAATAAAAGAATTTATTTAACTATTTACACAATTATGGCTGAATTTCTGCTGCCTCTCAGGGTGTCCCCACATCTCTGGTATGTGGCCTGGACAGGTTGGTCAGCACAGGCAGCAGAAGCCTTTCCTAACCTCCTGTGGGGCGAAGATTGCCTCTTCCATGGATGGGCTGGAGTCTATATTGATGCCGCCACACCCCTTGGGACAGTTGCTGTTTTCCCGCACTTTTTGGCCTTGGGGAACTGTAGGCCAGCAGATGAGGAAGCCCCATTCAACTCAGTGAGTGATAGTATTGCAAGGCCCCTCTCTGGGACTACAGCTCAATTAAGCCTTATGGGGGAACATTTTAAACACAGAGATGCCAGCCATCTTACAGACACAGGTAGCTGCCATTTCATTACACCTACCAACAGCTACTGAGGGAAAGATTAGTCCCACACAGGAGGAAAGTCTTTTAATCAAGAGCAAAAGCTGTCTGCCAGAAATTCTGACAGGGCACAGTGGCTGAAGGAGTGGGTGGGGAAGAGGAGCAAACCCAGCACCCAGCCAATGGCATGCGAGTACTCTTGAGTGGCAGCTGGGCAGGACTCGGGCAACGCAGCCAGTGGCTAGGGACACCCTCTGAAAGACAGAACAGCGAGCCAAAGGCTGAGGGAGTGTGCGGAACGTTCAGGAGAGTCCATGACCAAAACACAGTTATATATATGGAGACATAGGCCTCTGTATAGAGAGAGGGAGGGAGGTATGTGTGCATGTATTACATAGCTATAAAATATACACACACACCTTCAGTTACAGAGCTTTGGGCAGCATCATATTTTTTAAGTGTTCTAAGGTTAACCCTGATACACCTCTTGTATAGGTCACATGGCTCTGCAGTGTGCTCTGCAGGTTTGGACAGCTGGAATGAGGAGATGGGCAAGACGGAATCCACAGCTACCTCGGCTCAGAGCAGGCTCCTGTGGTAGGGGGACAGGTGCCCAAAGTAACCATCCTTCCCAATGCAGAGGCCATTTGGATGGGGCCAACAGCCCTGCAGAGGGAGGCTCTCTGACTCCCCTTTCCAGTGCTGCTAGCCAGCTCAGAGCAGGAAGTGATCTGGAGGTTGCCTAGCAAACCCCTCACCCTGACTTGGATAGCCCAGGCTAGGCCCAATCTCACCAGATCTTGGTAGCTAAGCTGGGCTGGCCCTGGTCAGTGTTTGGATAGGAGACCACCCAGGAAGTCCAGGGTTGTGATGCAGAGGTGGACAATGAATGGCAAAGTGCCTCTGAACATCCCTTACCTTGAAAACAGGGTCACCATACATCAACCGTGACTTGATAGTGGGGGGAAGAAACACCCCGCCCCCACAGGGTGCCAGTGATCTCTCAGTAATAGCCACTCTTGTTTTCATGTTTAAGTTGTGGTGTCTAAGCAAGTGCAGCCAGTCTCAAGGATCAAATAATAAATGATATGGAAAATCCTATTTTAGAACCCATTTTTAAACTTCAGATTTCACTCCGAAGTTTGTAGAAAAGTTTCCCCAATCCATACGATGTCCCATTGTACAGATTTTTTTTTAGCCTGCGGGGGGGGGGGGAGCTTAACATTTATCAGTTACAGTCTGTGTACCCTCACCAAGAGCCATGGGGAGCTGTAAGCAGTTCATTGTGCAGCCTTTTCTTCCACAGGTACGTTGGCCTTGCCTACCAACACTATAACAGCCCACCAGCTCTACAACTACATAACTGACCATGCCAGCACTTACCATATGAAGCCACTGCGCATGGTCAGGCCAGGAACTAGCACGGAGGGCAAGAAGGGAACCCCCATCCCTGAGCAAAATGAGTATGCCCTAGTCTCCATCTGGAACAGGTGAGCAGTTTCCTAGTTCTGTACTCCCTGTGCTTCCCATGTCCTTTTGGTCAGCTTCTTTTCCCCCCTTGTTCTGTAGTTCTTTAAAAGGACACTGAGAACTGTGCTTCTAACACAATTTGTCATCTTGTATCCAGGCATTCAAAAATGTGTTTTGGATTATGGTAAATGGCACACTTAAAAGCTCTCTACGCCAAGTCCTTATTTTAAAAAATACATGACTGTTTTTGTTCCATACTTTAGTTACAGATACACCTACCAGATCTCTCATATGTTGACTCTCAGTACTTCACAACCAGACCAAAACAACTATCATTTACTCCACCAGCCACTTTCTGCTAATGCCTGCAGTTGAGAGCATCGGGAGAAAACATTCACCTCTATAGGGATTTTTTCCCTCTAACACAAAACTCTTTTGATCCTTTTGAGAGTTTTGTACAAGCGACTTGATTTTCCACAATTAGTGTCGTCCCCCGTCCCCCAGTCAGGTTCTGTCTAGTCTTCTGCCTTTTGAGCACTGCTTTTCATTCTTGCTTCCTCCTGAGTTACATTCTTACAGGGTGCTTCTGCCACAGAAGAAGAAATTTTATTAGCTTCGTGAGGAGACCTCAGTCCCATTTCTTGCAATGTGATGCATTCTCCACTGGCACTCCTATAACATAAGCAAGATTGATTTTTGCCGCCCTACATATTAGGCTCTTAGCTGTGTCTTCTAGGCTTTTGTTAACTTATCTTTCTGGCTGCAGTCCTTTACTGTCCAATCCTTAATATGGGGCACTCACAATTCCAGATTCACTATCTGATGGTGAGTGTCATTTTGTATCATTTTATGCTGCAATCTGTACTTCTGTGAAGTATTAGCTGCCCTGAAGCTGGATTTAGGCATTCACTAGAGGGAGGTTTGAATATTCAGGATGGGGAAATTCAAATGCAGAGCACTCCTCTTGCACAAAACAAATAAGTGTGCATACATTTTCTCTGGCACAAAAGGCAGACGCTGCCAACAGCAGACTTCCTAATTGCCATGTTTTTGCAGATCATTACCAGTATTCACAAAAAAATGCAAACATATACAGACGCCATTATAGTAAACAAATGAAGGTGGAGATGTTAGTTGTGTAATGAGTACTCTTGGCCAGGGAAACGAACATAACAGGACTCCTGCATCTCTGATAGGGGTTTTCAGATATGTATGAAATATGTATGAAATTCTGCAACTCCAAACTTATTGAGCTATTCCTGTCTATACTCATCTGATGTCCCTAGCTCAAAGTGGAAAATGTGGCAATGGTGCTGCAAATCGAAAGCTGTCACACATCCGTGACCCTGAAGCATGTCTGAAGCACATTACAATTCTGCATTCATACTGAGTCAAGCTATACATACATTTATAGTTGATGGCCTTGTGTGTCCCATTTGTGTGTCATACTTTCAGTTCATTTGAACAGCTAGTGAGTGAGCTGAAAAAACTGCAGCTGCTGTCTCCTCCACCACACCCCTCCTAACCCACTGACCACATGGAGAATCCCTTACCCGACTCTGTGCTTACAGCTCTGGTTCCTACAAGGATTCTGAGGGTCTGCGTCACCATGATGACTTTGATGTATCGCTGCTTGTGTGCCACAGTGCAGCACCCTTTGAGGAGCAGAGCGAGGCTGAGCGACACATGCTACGGTAAGGGTGGAGCTGGACAATTGCTGGCAGAAGTATGTCCGCTTGGAAGAGCAGTACAAGACTGAAGGGACGCCATGTGACTCTTCTTGCCTATGCCATGTAACTGGTCTAGGTACTGAGACTACAGAGCACATGTTTTTTAGATGCCCATATTATAAGGTGGCGCATAATAAAATCATCACTCCGCTGATTGAACAAATTCCGGGCCTTTCCAAAAAAGCTAGACTTGAGTTTCTTCTGTCTGATAGAAATCCCAAGACTACCCACCAACTAACTAAATTCTAAGGTAGCTAGTTAGATATAGCAGTTTGATATTACACTAAATTTTAATCTGCTTTTAATGTTTTACTGATGTATTTTAAAATCTTGGAATATTGTAAAGGTGTACTTTTTGTATGACTGGTCTAAGGACTGTAGAAATAAACTGAGTCTAGGTCACTTATGGGTAGAGGCGATGAAGGAAAGGGTTTATATTGGAGGAGTTGCTGAATTGCCTTGGAGTTGTTTGGGGAGGAAGAAGCTGCAATGGCAACCTTTTACTCCCTCCCCGTCCCAGGTTGAACTTCTATGTGATCATGACAAGCCAGCGGGAACTCTTCCCACGATTAACAGCTGATATGCGGCGTTTCAAAAAGCTGCCACGCCTGCAGCGGGAGTCATTAGAACCAGTTCTCGGACGTGCAGCTTGGGAGACAGCGGAGGACGGATGGCAGCGAAAGGAAGTGCCAGAGCCCTGGGAGGAGGTAGAGAACAGTGGCGAGTTCTATGCAGGAGGTCCACAAGTCAAGGTGGGCCCTGGGCTCTTCTACACATCCCCACTCTTCCCACTGCTCACCTCAGAGGTTGCCGCCGCCCAGAAGCAGCTCAGCGACATGGTGCAGCTTGCCAAGTGTCATTGTCGCCGTGACAACCTCTGGAAGCGGCTCTTCCTGCTTGAGCCCCTTGCCTCTGACAAGCTCAAGATGGGCAAGCTCTCCCTGGGTGAACTGGAGGAACTGCTGGATGCTGTGCACAGGAAGTCCATTGCAGACATCGATCCCCAGTTGGTGAGTGGTTGGGCTGGGTCAAACCATGGACACTTTGCTTACGTTCAGAGGCAAGTTGGAATAAACGCTATTTTGAAACACTCAATAGGGTTGAAAGAGGCATCTGCCATTCTTACTGATCTACAGAGCATCCATCTCCGTACACAGTGCTGCGAGCTTAACAGCCTCCCTCTTTCCTGTCCCTCGCAGAGCTGCTTTCTCACCATGACTGTCTCCTGGTACCAGAGTCTCATCAAGGTGCTGCTGAGTCGTTTCCCACAGAGCTGTCGCCATTTCCAGAATACAGATTCTGGCACCCAGTATCTGGTAATGATTTCCAGCAACTTTTTGTCCTGCTGGGTCTCCGTCTTCTAATTAATTTACCCTGCGTGAGTGTTCTTAGTGACAAGCCAGCCTTGGCCAATCAGAAACAGAACCCTGCCCAGTAGCCCTCCAAGGAAGATGATTCCGCTCTCCTTTATTAGAAGCTGATTCCACTTAATAGATTTTTTTCCGTTTGGGAGTATGGGTTATTAGGAGACCTCTCGTCATCCTGGAGTATCTCTACTATGGAGTGGTTTTGTCCTCCCTGTCACCCCAAGCCCTCCAGGGAAGATGGTTCTTCATCCCTTTATTAGAGTTGCTCCCACTTAACAGCATTCCCCCCCCCCCTTCATTTTGGGTGTATGGGTTATTAGGAGACCTCTCGTCATCCTGGAGTATCTCTACTGTGGAGTGTTTTTCACCTTCCTGACACCCCTGATTCTCCTAGCAAGTCAAATGATAGTTCCTTGCTTCCTTTTGCTAACTGCTGTAGTGTGGGGACTTTCCTCCTGAGGCAGCAACTATTGCCCTCTCTTTGCAGGTTGTGCTGAACCAGAAATTCACAGACTGTTTTGTTCTTGTATTTCTTGATTCCCATTCAGGAAAAACGGTAAGAAACTTTCCTTGCATGGGGGATGAGAGTGACTGTCCGTTCAAAGGGGAATGAAAGTGATAGATATTGAGATTTTGCAAAGTGCTCATGAAGAGCACTCCCCAGCACACTGGGAGACAAGTTTCTGGCACTCGAGCTAGCTGACCATAGGCAGGAGTGGCCCAGCTTTCCAACTGGAGTTTGAGGAGCCACTGCCATTTATGAGTGGTTCTGCACTTCTCTGTTGCACCATTGACCAGTGTGGGCTGCAAGAATTATGACTGGAAATTCATCTCTAGAGGATGTTGCTGAAAAAAAGACAACTCAGGGACTTTACTGGTCAGCATGAGACTGAGTTAGCAGATGCTGATAACCTGTTGTTTCACAGAATGTGCAAAATAGAATTGTTCAGGAGGGCATTCTTACAGGAGAACTAGAGCAGAATGCATCAGCTCAGGAGGTGACTTCTGTAAGGAATAAACTTTCCCTACTGCCTTATTGTTTTATTTAGAATCTTGCTGTTAGATTTGTTTTATATGCAGAATAAATGTTATATACGTTGTTTCACTGCCTTAGACATTTTTCTTGTTTGTTTTTCCAGTTCTTCAGTCCAAGTCCCACTGCATTATTTTATTAAGAATCCTTCTTGTTAGACTGAATTATCATATTTTGTTCTTCATAGTCTTTCATATACCTGTTCAGCCCCACTGCATTAGTCTGTTCTCTTAGGAATCTTTACTGTTAGATTTGTGTTTTTATCATACTTCATAATATGCTTGCTGACTGACTGAATAGTTCATCTCATATAATCGACCTTCACAGTGAGAAAGGCGGACTATAAATGAAGCTAATAATTCCACAATCTTCTGTTGCAGAGTCTGACAGTGGTTTTTCGGGAGCCATTTCCAGTGCAACCCCAGAACAGCGAGAGCCCATTGCCTCAGCTTGTGTCCACATACCACCATCTGGAATCTGTCATAAACACAGCTTGCTTCAACCTCTGGACAGGGCTGCTGTAGTACTGGTTGGTCCCTCTCATTTGGGACATGGGGCACAGACCCGGCAACAGTGGGGCTGGAACCAAGGAGAAGGCTCAGGATAGCGGGTGCCGAGGAGGACTATGAGCAGCGTGAGGCTACAACTAGCCAGCTGACAGACCATTTTGAAGGATTCTGGCTGAGCTGAATGGAATCACTGTGGGAAGTGGGATGCTCTGAAGACAGGAGCACAGACTGTCCTGCTGGGCTAAAAGGGTGGATTCCACACCTTCACAAACCAACCAACCACCAAGTGAGGCACTGGGTGGGCAAGGCCTTCCTTGGCCTTTCGGCTCTCTGGAACCAGGACAAGAGACTGATGGAGTGGCAGACTTGGCCCTGCCTTTTAGAGTGACCCACTGGGTGGGTTTTAGCAGTGGGAGGATATGGCACAATAATGGGAATGTTTTATATGAAGTGAATGTACAGTAAATTAAATAATGCAGATCGTTACTTGTAAAATACATTGTGTCAGCTTCCACCACAAGCTGCTGCATTTGTCCCTGGAGCAAAAGCAGAACATGTTCCCACCTGTGTACCTCTATCATCTGAGTGGGTCGGTGGATGGGATTGCTGCCAAATTCCTACCCCAGCCTCGTAGGCTACACTAGTTAATTTTCCAAAGTAGCTGGTTCAGGCTTGGATGAGTTATATCATTAAGATATGCTAGAATCTTATGCTGGAGCCCAAGGCCTTGAAGTGTACAGCAACAGATGCTGCACTTCTCCAAGGCAGGATTGTGGGTGAATTCAAGTAGCAACATGCTGAGCAGCGTGAAAACACATCTGGAAACTACAGAGTTTCTGGATGCCCCTTGGAATCCAGAGAATCTCAAATAGGGGCCACTAGGTGGTACCAGAGAGCTTAGTTTGGAGACTTGGGGGGGGTGCCCTTCCTCCCTTTGTAGCAAACTATTTCCATTCTTTACAGCAAGCAAAGGCAAGCTTGTAGTATTATCTACCAGTGAAAATTTAATTTTTCACTCCTACGTAGGTTGTCCCTTATAATTGTAATTAGAAAGAGGGGCGGGGACAGCAGCTGCAGACAAACTATACTCCAAAAGAGCAAGGCAGAGTGTATCTCTTACAAGGAGAACTGTGAGTAGGAATGCCATCTGTTCACAAACATGAAGTGACATGGGAGTAGAGCTTCAGCAGTTCTGGGATCTCAGTAGTACTAAATATACCAGCAGAGCCACTTTATTAGGAGACAACAACAGCCTGCTGCAGCCATGCACCCACAGAGGGCCATATAACAAAGCAACGTTTTAGGTAACTGATCCAGCACTAAGCCCAGCTTTTTCTTCTCTTCTGACACGTGATACTGGAGACTATTGTTCATTCAGTCTTTGATGCACTTTATTTTAGTTTCTCAGTACCTGGGCTTAACCGCTCAGCTTTCTCCACCACGTAGACCATGACTCTTCCAGTACAAGTGCAACCAGTCAAGCCCCTTCACTGTGTCTCCTACAAGGGAAGCCATAAGTGTATTCATGAAACAGAACTGCTATCAAGAGTTGGGGGCCATAGAAAGCCCTGAGGCAGCTTTAAAGGTACCTTGGGCTGAGGATCCATAATGCCCCCATGCCCATGGGTGAGGAAACCAGACCTGGGTTGCCACTGTCTGCATTGAGAGGCATTGGCAACGAGAGCTGCTTACTTGTGAGTTCAGGGCTGCCTAAAGCTCTCCACCTAGATTAGTCTGCTTCCCCTTTCCCCATTCCCCTTTCCCCTAGGACAAAGGCAGGCTCACCTCTAGGAGCATATTCACATCCTATATAACCACTGTAGCCCATTGACTCCAGAAGCTGGAAGAGGGAGGGAAAGTCCAGTTCTCCAGGGCTGTCGGGCTCATGCCGTGCTGGTACCTGAGCGATCTGAACGTGTCCTGCAGAGGAAGACATCTGTCAGAAATGAAGGAGGGATGGGGTTTAGCATCCTGCCCAGTCCTCTTATGGGCAACATTTGCAGACTGCATCCAAAATCGTAGTTAGGCCTACCATTAGTCTTTTTATTTCAATGTCTCTGTAACACCAAGGCACAAAGGCTTTCAGTTTTGAAGAGGGCACTGACTATAGACACAAGACCCGAAGAATGAAGGAGTAGGCTGTGAACTTGTAAAATGGTTTCTAGGCATCCAACTCCACGTTCTCCTTCTTACCAAGAATTGGGAAATATGTTTCCAGGTTCCGAGTCAGATTCCCATCCATGATTTGGCAATGGAAAATGTCCTGTAGAGCAGATATCAGAATATACAGGTCTTTAGTCCAAGTTCGGCAGAGGTACTCCAGGCTCTCTCTGCCAGAATTCAGTGTTTCCCATAGCCTCTAGTTATGGGCCATATGCCGTGCCAATCAGCCAGCTACTCTGAGCCAATGGCTGCAGCTAATGTATGAAACTAGAACTCCTTTAGCAAGCTGCTCTTCAAATGCAGGACTCACCAGTTGCAACTTCAAATTAGGGCTTCCCACTTTCTTCAAGATGGCAGCAGCTGAAGGAATACAGGTAACTAGTATGTATCACCAGTACTGTGATTCTAAAACGGAATAATCTACCTTCCTGTCTTACCCAATCTCAGGGTCCCAGCCACTATTTTTTTCAGTAGTGGAACATCTTTTAAAAGAACCATCCCTGCCTTGGCTTACCTTGATGGGGGGTGGTCAAGAAGTAGCGGGGATCAGTAATCCGGCTGTTGATAGGCTCCAACAGCCCAGTCAAATTTTGCTGCAAAACCAGATAGAAAAAAATTGGGAATGCAGCCCTCACAGCCCTATCAATTTGCAAGGGGAGGGGGGCTTGGCACTGGACTTTGCTTTTCCCCATTGTGTCTTTTTCCCCCTTGCCCTCTTTCCCAAACCCTAATCAGCATTATTTCTCTGTGTGCCCCCACTTGCAGTGGTTTGTCTGTGGTTAATTAACAACTGGGCTGGCTCTTCTCCAAGCAGGCCTTGCCATCCTTTGACCATTTAGGGCTTTCTTCTACGGGGCTGGTTTTCGGGAGGGCTCACTTAAAGTAACAAATGCTGTTATATAATTGCATACGCCCAGTCCCTACCTGAGCCAGGATGTCGGCAGCGTATCTGAGGTTCTCTATGAAGGTGTCCTCCATCTCAGCAGACACTGCCTCCCGCTCAGCCCCCATAGGAATTCGCCCAGCCAGAAGGTGAATCCTACAAGCACAGGGGCGGATCAGGGTGGAAGTGAAGTTGAGCCAGCAGACTCCGGCATTGACTAAGTGGCGGAAGAAGTGGATTTCTTTGTCCTCAGATCAAAACAGACAACTGCTGTAAGGCAACTCCAGTGAAAGCTGTCTGCTGCTTGTGCACTGACCTATGAAGTGACCCTTAGCAATGGATAACTAACATCACCTTGCCTCTCCAAGGCTTTTAAAGTGAGGCCAGCCAACACATTCGGTATGGTGCAGGCCTTACAAGAGAATCTAAAATGGTCATCATTCCAACGCCTGTATTGCTTTAGAAGGGATGTGAGAATTCTATCCATTACTGAATGTGTTTACAGAATCAGACTGGCACTCATAAATCCAGAAATGAACAGGGTATGAGGGGGTTAAAGAGTTGTGCCACTTTGTTTTGCTTTATCCCCAAATAGCCCAGACAAGGCAGTGACCTAGTAAAGAGATACAGAACTGGTAACAGCGGTGAGAGTGTCCAGAACAGTCTTGAGTATATGCCACTTGTGGTCAGAGTTGCTTTTGTAATGCCCAGCTTCTCTTTAGTAGCATGGAGCCAATCCTGCATGCTGTCACCCCCACCCCCCAACTGGAGTGCCTGATTTGGTCCACCCCATTTTCTCCAACCATCCTGTTGGCTGCACTGCCTAACGGCACTCCTGTAAGGAGCAGCTGCTCATGGCAACTAGGGAGGGGACTGGCTTTCAGTGACAAACAGCCTCCTTCATGCATAAAGTGCAGTTATGCTGCCCCCAGAGAACAGAAGACTTTAAAATGGTAATATGTTTTTATTAGCCCTCATTGGTTTTTGGATGCATAAATAAGATTTTAACACAGAAACACTTAATCAAGATGGTTGACAAAATAGCTGGTTTACATACTGTATTTCTCAACGGTGCAGTTTCCAAGACCTGGGATGAGGTTTGGTTTGGGGGAGACCATGAAAGAAGGCTCTTGAGTCTCCAGTACCCCCGTCAGAACTTGGTATTACATACTGCGGGTGAGCATTATCTCTTCATTTTGTGCTTTTTTTGCTTCCTCTTGCTTTGTTCCCTCCCTCCTGCTTACATGCTCCAATTCTCAGCCACTCCCTGTGTCTAGACCAAGTTGCCATTTTCCATCCCTGACTCAAGCCACTTCCCTGCCTTCTAGCTTGGCCTCTTTAAGAATCCATATTTTGCACAAAGAGCCATACAGGGCAGGAAACAATCTACTGCAAGTTCAACCTCCCTTTCCATCTCCCACTCTTGTTCCTCCTTGAAGTAGCCTTGTCTCTCACTCCCCACCACCACCTTGCCGATCTGTGTTCCTAAAATTTCCCTTACATGAGCAGTTTCTTACATAATCCTCCCAGGAAAAATCAATCCCTGGAACTATCCATAACAATGAAACACTTGCATCACTGCTTCTTATGTTAACTTGATGTAATTAATGAGGAAAATGCCTGTAATAACCAGTACCCAGGATAAAATTACAGTGCAAAGATTTCCTTGCAGATTGCACCCTGGCCCAAGAGAGGGGAGGAATAACCCTCTGCTTTCATTGAACTGTGAAATGGATCACAGCCTAAGCCTGTTTCCTTAACAAGCACAAAAATAAACTTTCCTTAGTTCCTACTCTTTATTATGAAGACCCTGGGTTATGGAATGGGAAGGGGAAAACAAAAAGCAAACCATTTGTTTTATATAAGTGATGTAGTGAGGTACAGGTTAGAGTGTAGTGCTGGATTGCAACCTGGTGTAGTGGTTAGAGTTTCAGACCAGATTCTGGGAGACCCAGGTTTGAATCCTCACTCTGCCACGGAAGCTTGCTGGGTGACCTTGGGCCAGTCACACACAGAGCGCCAGTAACACACACACACACACAACCTGGCCTATCTCAAAGGGCTGTTGTGAGGAGAAAATGGAGAAGAGGAGAATAACATGACTTGCTTTGGGTCCTCACCGAGGAGAAGGGGGGGGGGCTTACAGGTGAAATAAATAAATGATGCCAGAGAAGGTAAAGAAAGGGCCACCATATCCACTTTCCCCGGCTATTGCACAGTTCTGTAATGATGAAGACAGCACCTTTTTATTTTATTCCCCCAGCAGCATCGTGATGTAAGGGAAAGCCTTGCGAAAAATCCATCAGTAAAGTAACAACCCAAAATGATTCTGCTCTAGTTATTCCTGCACACAGCAATTTCCCTTGTGAACACAACTGGGCAAGGCTAATAACTGTGCTATATACAGGAGCTCACCCACTATTGATTTAGTACAGATCTTAAGTATAATACTACCTTGGACACTGCAGGGTCTTGGCATACTGCACGGCCAAGGCCAGAGCCTCTCTGAATTCATGCTGGCGGCCAGGCACAGCACCTAGGCCCATGTCACCTTTTTCTTGGTTTCCTAAGAAAAAGAGCAGTAAACAGACTCAAGCCTCAAAGGTGGCAGGGCACACAGCAAGTTGCATACTCAGGTAGCAAAGGATATGTGACATATATGGCACCTGCTGTCTCTAATGCAGCAAGCACCCCATGTCCATTATGCAAGAACCTATGCACACATTTAGGAAAGAGGTGATCCTGAATCCCTGGCAGGCAACAGGGCTCAGCTTCATCCTGCTCCAGATAATTCATGAGTAGTAGTGGTTTGACATGTAAGACTGGACAACCTTTTCTCTATAATGCTTGGAGCGTAAAGGAAATATCCCTCCCACTAAGGGTTACTATGAAGCTTTTTTTTGGGGGGGGGGGTAGCTACCTTTAGCTTGCAGTGGGAATTAGGTTGTTCATTATCATCCTGGACATTGTGATCAAGGTGGACAGGACAAGAGGAGAGAAACTGGCATATAGTTAAAGCTACTGTAGGACCAAGCTGGCAATGCTGGTGAAAGTCTTCTAATTTAGAGGTAAAAAAACGTGATAAAATATTCTATCATTCATCCTGTAATACAGGATGACAATGAAAGGCAGAGTTTGCACCCAGATTCCTTCTCAATGAACAGAAGCTTTGTAACAATAAGCAGAATCCGCACTCTGCTGAGTGGAAGTTTGCTGGGTGGTGACCTTGGGCCAGTCACACCCTTTCAGCCTATCCTCCCTCACAGGGTTGTTGTGAGGATAAAAGGGAGGGGAGGAGATCCATGTAAGCTGCTTTGCATCCCCACTGGGGTGAAAATCGGGATACAAATAAAATAAATAAACCAAGTGAAGTTTGTTTTTCCCTTGGACGGAACAGCAAAGGCAGGAAAGTTCCACCTGTGGATTTCTGCGTTTTCTACAGGCAACGAAAAGGTGGCACCACTCCCCCCCCCGCCTCCCGTGACAGAGAGAGCTCTTTGGTGCCTGCTGGTCTTCAGGTCAGGAAGCCTGAGGGGATCCGAGGGCATGGAGAAGGCAGAGGAGGAGAGGCCGACAGCGAATAGCGATTCGATTGGGTAGGTACCTGGCGGAGTATTGAGCAGGACCAGCTCTAGCCCGGCCCGTTCTGCCGCCGCCCGCAGCTCCGATGCGCTGCAGGCGTAAGGAAAGCCCAGCTCAGCGGCCCCGAAGCCAGCCCGCGCCGCCGCCTCTATACGCTGGGGCAGCGTCGGCTGCTCCTGGAACATCCAGGCCAGGTTGGCGGCGAAGCGCAATGGAGCCATGCCCCGCAAGGGCGCGGCGACCGGCAAGCAGAGCCCCCGGCCGTGAGTGCAGCAGCGTCAGCGGCCCAGGTCAGCCAGGAAGGCAAGAAGAAGGCAACTCGAGGCAGAGACTCTGCTCCTGGCCTTCGGCGGAGGAGGAGTCGCGCTTGCGTGTCTCTCCACGCCTCCGCCGGAGGAGGGCCGTGCGCCGTAAGAGCGCCTGAGTTCTTCTAGAATCTCGTAGAGGCTCTGCTTGTATCGTGTCAGTTCTTGCCCAAGTCTGGTATCTCTTTAGGACACGTGTTCCTTTTGCAGGACGTCTGTACGGACCAGTGTTCCCTCTAAGCTGAGTGAGTGTGAGCTAGCTCAGTTTTTTAGCCCCTGGCTCACACATTTTTGTCCTAGCTCAGGAAGGATAGCTACAGATCAAACTAATTTATGCAGTAGTCAAATGGCTCACTCACAGCTTTAATGCCAGTAGCTCACAAAAAAAGAATTCTTGCTCACAACACTCCACAGCTTATAGGGAACATTTGGTACGGACACAAGCTTGTGCCATCGGAAGCCAAATCGAAGGCCAGCTTCCCCAGATCTGGAGCAGTCGACCTTCTTTCTTTGTACGCCCTCATCGCCGCCTCTAGACGTGCATTCTATACCTTAGCACTGCCCACAGGTTCCCCTCGTCTCTATCCCTCTAGCATTTTACCACCTGCTGCGGAGACTCTGTGTTCCCAAGGTCCGGGCAAAAGTTTCCTTGGATCCCACTTTTTCGGTCCCCAAAATGGAAGATGCAGAATTTTCACTGTGGGTCAAGTGCTGTAAGCAATCCTGATTGCCTGTTCACTTCAGCTGTACCTTTTAGGCTCAATTAAAGAGTTCTTAGGCATTAAGTGAAGCAGCCACTTTCTGCAGAGGATTCCAGGAAAATGCCATTTACCTGCCCCTGCTCTCTGTCTCCTTAGATCACTGTGTAAAAAGGCCTCCTGTCTTTTTACTGGAGGTGTGATAATGTGTAGGGCAGTCTGAAGTATAAGGAAATCAGATAACTTCCTTAGAAAGGCAAGTTCCTTTCATCCAGAGGGTTCACATTCCATGACCCTCTTATAAAGAAAAACCATAGAACCACAAAGCAGGAAGAGACTAAAACCAGTATCACATGTACACTGTAAAGCAGAGGAAAGCTGAAATGCCTTTGTCTGTCAACCTTCTTGCATGGCCATAAATCGATTCAGGATCCTGCTACAAGCACACTTAAAATTGCCTTTCTGTTTTTCCACATATGGACACCTACTGTGGGAGAGGGGCTGAAAAGCGCCTTAAGTGATGTGTGTGATGTGGATTCAGTCTGCTATCTAGTTCAATACCACTCCAAGACCAACCAGCCTCTGCACTTCAGGCCAGAGTGTGCTACAAGCAGGAAGCAGGCATACTGGAAAACTAATAGCCCCAGAAAGCTTCCACAAGCAAGCCAAACCCAGATTTATGCTAGTTTTGTGCACAAACGAAATAGATTACATTTTAGGGCCTCGAATTATGAGGGACCTCTAAACACATTACTAAATTATCATTTTTGATAATGCTTTGGGGCATCTTCAGTTTGGCATAGTTTAGTGCTTCAGCATGTCTTAACTCAGCCCTGGCCAAGCCACACGTTGTAAGGGAAGGTGAAAATCTGCAAATTACTGCCTGACAGGCACACTCACAGGGCACCCTACTTCCTTCCAAATAATTCTTTTGTTGTCAAGGGCATCTCAGAGGCATGTCTGTAGAGATTGAGCCTAAGGCTCTTTGCTCAGTACCCTGCAAGATTGCACACCCTCCTAACCATGCACTTTGCAATTCTTAGCTGCTCTGCGGCACTGCCGTGCCCAGTTTCTGCTTTGCATTTTGCGCACGGCTCCTCTGTGGCCCGATGCATGCTGTTTGTTTGCTTTGAAGTGATGTATAATCTGCGCTGATAATTAAAGAACGTCATTCCAGGGTTAGTATTTATTGATACCAATTTAACTTGCCTCATACATCAAACACCAACCATCCACTGAAATCCCTAGTGAATTTCTGCATCCTGGAGACCTTGTTTTTATTACCCAGAACTGACAGGAATGGCTTTTGGGGCACTGGCTCTTCTGCTTTGCCTCACCTTTGTGTTGCCCATCTTTTCTTTCTTCAGTACAGAAAGACATTGCAGACTAATAAAATGGGGCCTGCTCCAAGGTAACGTGTCCTGCTTTGTGATTACTACATGCTATATACCAGCAGCAAGTCAATCAGCTAGAATAGAGCCCAGGAGGGAAGGAGCCAGGGGGAGAGAGGGGATGCTGTATTATGCTGCTTCTAGATAAGGGTTTTTGAAGTGCCAGATGTGCTGATTCAGAGCACCTGATGCCCACAAGTCACAGACAGTGCCAGTTCCCTAGCTGATCCTTACTAGTTCACGTGGCAGACCAGGAGATCAGGAGCACCAGAATGGGGTGGCATCCAAACACAGAATTGCCCCAGGGGCAAATACATAAACTCTGTATGTAGCTTTGCCCCTCTTTCCCCCCTCCTTCCAACACAACTTCCTTTTCATTTGATTTAATGCTTATTCAGGACAGTAGGGTCAGAGGAACCCAACATCTCCACATAGCCTCCACTATGGTGCTACAAGGTACTGTTTGCAACAATAAAGCTGCAGCATGCCTTTAAGATAACATAACACCTCTGTTCACAAAGATCAAACCCTTCAGTCCTCTGCATAATGGCAACATTACTTCATAAGAAAGGAAGAAGAGCACTGTTGGCTTGGACCCAGGAGCTGTGAAGTCCAGCATACTTCTGGGAGCCTAGAAGCAAGATTTGAGAACAACAACCTATTCCTATTGCTTGTCGCCAACATCTTGTTTTCTCAGGTGTATTGATCTCAAACATAAAACTGCTGAGTTGTCCTTTTCCCCTGGTTCCATAGATATTTGAATTCAAGAACACCCCTTTACACCCTGCTGCCACCAGTTTAGCAAATCTTATCTCCCATCACCTTATCTGGAACATGTATTTGTGTGTTTGATCAGGGCACCTGAATAGAAACCGTCTCTATAATTCGTGACACTTTTCTTCAACATCTTTGCATGCAAATGCTAGTTTTTGTCACTACATGTATTTTTTTTAATTAAGTGATTTCTGCTTTCCAGCAGCACCATTTCATAATTTTATATGTTCATTGCATAATCAGGTCACAGAAAGTACTGTATATCACAAAAATCCCATGTGCGCACCTGTAATTTCCCACAAACTGAAAAGGAGGGAGCTAGGTGTTGCTTTAGATTTTCATCTCAGATTGTAGTGGGATTATATAGATTCCGTATCTAGGACTGACACTAAAACAAAATCCAAAAGAGGAAAGCAGAAGGCAATGCAGTTTATTTAGGCTTTCAAAACATTTCCTAGAGAACACTATAAAAGTAATTGGCAAAAATTCCTCAGCAGTTCCAAACTAGCAGCAGACATATTGTTCCATGTAGTCTTGTCTATGTTTGTCAACTCTCCCTTTGTATTGATTAATCATACAGAGAACATAGGAGGCTGTTGGTAGAAACTTGGAACCTCCAAGCTCAGTTTGGCCAAGCAATGCCACCTGGCCCACAGACCAACTTCACTATCTCCCCTCTGTCTCTTGGCAGTATACCTGCTTGCCTGCTGCCAATATAGCAGCCATATAGACAGCTGGGTCTAAAATCCCCCAACCAGCATGTACCTAGGAAAAGTGAGGAAAAATAGTAACCACCCATGAGGTTGCCGGTTTATTCTGGGTTATCCAGAAGTAAAGGAGGTGAGAGACATGGATGCTTGCCCATTGTTACACATCGTAATTCGTCTTAGAGTAAGCCTTATGGCTTATGCTGTCATGGAGCAGAATGGCATTGCAACCAACCACAAGAGAGAGGGGAAGATGGAGGATCTCACAAGAGTAAACAGGAGTGAGTATAATTTCTATGAAGGGGGTACCACATGTTGTTTGCAGGTGAATCTTTCCTTAGGCGGTACAGTGTGGTCTGTCAGCCCAATGCTTAGCCCTAGGCAATCCTGTCAGCCAGTTCAGGTACCAACAGCTGCCATATGTCATGCCTGTGTTGCTGTTTCTCTGACTCTTGGGGGACACAAAGACCTCACATTACTCTGTGGACCTGCCTTCCTTTTCTTGGGACATGATTTCCTCTTGGTCCACTAAGCACTGACAAGCGAGTAATCAGCTGCTGTTGTTTGCATTACCATCGGAGAGGTTAAAACAATTTTCTTCTTGACTCAGGGAGGCTCATTACGACATTGTATCAGAGCCCCTGCAGTGACGGAATAACTGCAGTATAATTATGTAACTAGTGTAACAGCTTGCCCTGGATGTATTGTTTTGAACTGATTCACTACAATTGGTAAGGTGCTTTCATCACCACACAAGGTTGGGCTATTGTTCTCTCATATTGGGGGAAAGCTTGTAAGCTGTCAGTTCACTGCCAATGAAATACCTCAGAAGCTATCAAATGAAAGCATCCCCTGAAAAATGTTGGCAGGAGGAATGCAAGTGAGAAACCTGGATGGAATGAATGCTGAGTCGCAGAATGAAAGAACGGCCGGTTAAAAGACGATAAAGGCCAAATGGGAGCAGCTGGGTGAAGGGCAGCAGCTCAGGGGAGAGCATGCATAATAAAAAGATACAGAAATCCAGAGAGGAGACATGGAAAGGCTCAGGCTATGAAAAACAAGATCGCGTGTACCTGGAGTGGGCACGGAGCCATGGATGTAGAGCGGAGGGAAACTTTTCCCATCCATAATCCATTGATCAGTAATTCCTTGGTTGTTTGTTAGTGAGTCAATCGGTGGGGATAGAAAAGAGTAAGAGTCCCATAGCACCTTAAAGACTAACAAAATTTGGGGCAGGGTGTGAGCTTTCGTGAGCCACTGCTCACTTCTTCAGACTCACTTCTTCAGTGACTCATGAAAGCTCCTACCCTGCCACAAGTTTTGTTAGTCTTTAAGGTGCTACGGGACTCTTACTCTTTTCCATGGCTACAGGCAGACCAACACGGCTACCCATCTTGGTTAGTGGGCAGGCGTGGCACAACCTCCTCAAAATCTAAGTTATTGGAACCTCTGCAAGATCAGCTTGG